TTAGTCCCTCTGGCGCTGCTGCCCGCCGGGAACGCCGCTGTGCTGTGGAGTCTGCAGGCATACAGGCGTGTGTCTGTGCGAAGCTGCTCCCCACCCGACGGTGCCAAGGATGGATCCCTCTCTTCTCCTGAAAGTAACTTACCTTCGCCGGTAAAACAGGAACAGACACAACCAGAAACATTACCCGATCTAAATGTGAAAATACTGAGTGAAGGTAAGAGGCCTTAGGGATACCATTTCTTCCAGATCTTCAAATCCTGCTTTCACTATGCTGTGGTTTAACCCCAGCTGGGTTCTCCTTTGTTTTGGCCTGTTCATCTAAAACACCTGGAGTTTCTTACTTTCACTTGTTTTGAGCTTGGTAGGTAATGCAGATATTCCTGTAGGTCACTGTAGCATACAAAGAATAACTTTAAGTTGTTTTGGATAGAAGTGTAGGTCAGGAGGTGTCGTTTGAAGGGCTTTTCATAACTACCTGCATCAGTTGAACGTTTGCCTTTCTCTCTTAGATGTGCAGGTACAAACTAAAGGGTTTGGGGTGGTGCTTTTTTTGAGCAAGACTGGAGGAATCCATGCCTGAAGCGGCTCACACAACAATGGGAATTGTTGGAATGATCAGGGATGAACAACAGGAGGCAGCAGTGTGAAGCCTGCTTAAGCACAGCCCTGTGGACAAATACTCATCCAGCTGTCTCTCCTGAGGAAAGAAGGTGAAAGGAGAAAAATACCGTATCGCCTTGGTGTTGTTTCCTTGAGGGATTTGCCTTAGTTTTTTTCTCTTATATCTAAGTGAGGATACAAAAAAAACCAAACCACTATCCTCTGAAGATAATTCTGATATGCTGAGGAAACTTGTTCTGAATTGCTAAGCAAACTTTTATGTTCAGATTCTGCTTTTAGCCCAGCCAGCTTGGATCCTGCAGTGATTATTTTTGGGGTGGCTCAGAGCTGCAGCTGTTGTTGGTGTGTTTGTGCAGCTGGTTCTGAAACAGTGCTGCACCAGAATGACAGGTCAGCCAGCTCATACGTGTCTGCACCTGTGGTGCAGTTTATCTATATGCCAGATTTTTACCTGCCAGCATGCTAACTGGTGTATGTGTGTAGCATTTTGCCCTGTTGGCAGTCTGTGTAATGGAATAAACATAGTTGTTAACTTTTGGGGTTTTTGGTAACTTGAGATATGTTTCCTGATAGGTGTAAAAACCTTCAAGTGGCAAAACAAAATGACATGCGTGCTTCTGGAATGGACCTTGGCATATATTGGTTCAGTCTTCAACAAGTTGAAAGAAAATACTTGATATTCACATGGATTCCTAGAGAGTTTCTGTTACTGTTTAAGGTGTAAATGTTGCTAAAAACATTATACTGTGCTTTCATTTCTAAGGCTTTGAAAAAAAGAAGTGGCAAGACCTTCAATAGCTATCGAGCTAGTCTGTTCAGTTCTTTCTGGAGCATTAGGATCATCCTACTTATTTTGGTAACTGTCTGGGTACTTCTGGGGTGTCTTTGTTTTCTTGACTTGGAAAAGGGTTACTGTAGTCTCTAAGATGCCATTATGTGAAGGTACAGAAAATTCCCATCCCAAAAAGTTAATAATCAGGGCTGTTGATCAGTAATCAGTCTGATAACTGAGGTAGATGCTAGCAGCCAGCCTGCAAACAGCAATCATCATCTAGCTGCTGTGAGCTCCTGTCAGTGGAAAAATAGAACCATTTAGAGAAATATTTTTCTTAAAACACACTGAGCTCTGTGACTTGAAACACTTCAGGGAGAACAAGCATAACTGTGCTCTCTTTGAAACATTACTGAGTAGGAAATGGAGCTTGATTTCTTTTGCTGTTAGAGATGGTGGCAGTCAGCAGCCATTCTGTAATGGGTAAGACATGATAGCTCAGTTGGAGTTAGCTGTGAAATACGTTGGAAGTTCAAACAACTGCATTTCAGGCATCAGATTCAGACAAGGCACAAAGAGTGGGCTTGTCAGGTTGTGAAAATAACCTTTGGAGTAGCCTTTTATCTGGACGTGATCAGGCAAGAATGCATTTGTGAAGGAATGAAAGAAGATTCTGTTTCAAGAAGGTGATGTGATCTGTTGTCTGCAGCGGTCAAGGCAGCAGACTGAAGGCAGCTTGCTGGGTACTGCGCTCATATTTGGCCACATGAGCAAGAGCTGATGGGCAGTGACAAGGAGACGGAACAGAGACGAAACCTGGGAATAGAGGCTGTGTTTGTATATACGTTTTCAAAAAATAGATTGGCTGTTCATGTCATGCAATGTTCCTGCATTTTGAGATGGATTGTAAGAGATCTTTATAGCATTTGGTGGGAGCAGCTTTGTCTTTCACAAAATGCATTTGCGTTTTCTGTATTTGTTTCTTAGACTGGGATGACATCTCACCTTCATCTGCTTTGGAAGAGATTTCCGAGGAAGAAGCTGTACAGATCATTGCAGAACCAATTCTTCCCCTTCAGTCTTCCACGCTCAGAGATTACGTTGATCACTCAGAAACCCTTGCAAAGCTTGTCCACCTTGGTATGTGTTATCTTGTTTGTGTGGCTTGCCTACATCTGAAGCTTTGGAGATGCTGTAATTTGTATTTTACTCTTACTGGTTATCTTGTAAACTTTAAAACAGAAACAGTGACCAATGGCAGAAAGCAGCAGAATGTTATCCAGGGTTAATGGAAAAAGAGAGGGTGCTGTATCACTCACTAGCAATGCCATAGTACTTGAAAACAAAACTGGCCAGTTTTAGTCCCCTAGTGCTGTGGGTGCTAAGGAGACACCTCCCACAGCTTCTGGAGATGGGGAGCAATTTGTGTAACTTAATAGGTCTTTCTTCTTTTGGGCTGGTTAAGGATGCTTTAATTTACTGCCAAAGAATTTGCAGCTCTCCATCCTTGGAAGGATCTGTTCTGTGCAGAACTTTAGGAGTAGGGCACAGTAAAATGGAGAGGACAAAGAGACAGGATGGAAGAGAACTTCTCATCAAAAAGCACTTGGACTGCAGGGATAGCTGAGTTCAAGGTCCTGGCCACATCTTCGCTGCCCAAACATGCAAGGAACACTAGAAGGAGTTTGGAGAAATAAATATTTGAGAGGGGAAAACCTGGCCCCATGTAGTCACAAATTGCTGTGTGTGGGTCAGTGTGCAAAGGCACTTCCTAGCAAAAATGTTCCCATCCCTTTTATAATGAAGTTGGAAATTTCTTGCACACATACATCTGTGCAACAGGATTGGGTCTCTACATGTGGCACATATAGGATTCACTGCAAATATCTTCCTTCAAAAAATAAACTCTAAGTTTCTAAAATGACTGCTTGTTTTATCTGGAATCTTTCCACAACATACAAGGTGTTGTGACTTTGCTGTGTTGAGCAATTAAAACATGCTGAATCCATGCAAAAAAAAAAAAAAAGAGTAGTCCTATAAATTCCAACATGTCTCTCTGAAACATTTATAGGAAGTAGGGTCTGTGTTAAATTAAAACAACTTTGTTTGTTGTAGGAGTTGACTTATCCCAAGTGGAGAAACGTCAAAAGGCAGGTCAGCTCTTACTGACCTTGGACTTTGAAAAAGATATAAGAAAAATACTTCTGTTTCTTAAGGATGTGGGTGTAGAAGACAATCAACTGGGACCATTCCTAACCAAAAATCCATACATCCTTGCGGAAGATCTGGAAGCTTTAGAAACCAGGTAAGCCTTTCAAACAGCAGCAGGGTGTTAGGCCCCTTGGCTAGATCTAGTTTCCCAGTTGGCTTAACCTTGTCTGAATGAACCTGTGTTGCTTCCTGCTTCCTTTCTCACTCAGTCCCTGACTCCATGTTCTTGTGCCTTTCCATCAGTTTGCACTAACATGTGGTGGTATCATAAGTCTAGTCAACATCCTGATCCACCTGAAATCTGACCATTAACAAATTTTACTGCTGATCCCTGTCTCTGTGCCACAGAGGAAGCAGCTTGCAGTGCTAGGCTATTTGCTTTACCAGTGTCAGCTTAGATTCCAAAATATTAGTCCCTGAGGCTTAACATAAATTTGTAGAACAATGTTAACCTCTTCTGTCATGATTTGAAACTGCTCTTGTAGATAATGTGTCTACCCATACCTTGTGAAGCAGACTAGATCTCTCCTGTGTGGACTTCTAATAAGGGGAAGGTTTTGGTGAATTTTTTTTTTCGCTGTTGTCCAGCTCAAACTGAACACAAGACCACAATGAACTAATTTGTGTATGTGTTCATTCATGTTTGTATGGCCCTACACTGTTCTTCAGTCCCTAAAATGGACTTTTATTCATACCACTACTCCAAATTCGACAGGTTTTTTTACAACTTGTTTGTGTGTGTGTGTATGCATTTGTAATGAGCTCAAAACATCTTCACTATTTAAAAACTCCAGCAAAGAAAGTCTGTCTATTTGGCTCTTGCATGTAGTAGCTGTCTGAGACAGAAATATGAACATAAAAATATTTGGAAACAGGCACATTAGTAGACTCTTATATAACAAAGAGCTGACTTCTTTCTTCTCTGTTCTTCCATCCCCCTGTTCAGTAAGTGGCTTTTCACACACAGTATCCAGAAAGAACCTGTGTCATTTTTCAACAGTAGTATCGAGTCTAGGTGTCAGAGTTGCTTATACTCTTCTGAAGAGAGTTGAGTTTTTTTGGTATGATAAACATCCTAACCCTTCTGTGAAGTCAGATTTGTTTTTCAATGACAGTCCCGTGGCACTGCCTGGTTAGGGAAGTAGGGGCTGAATAGAGAAATTCCAATTTCTTCTTCATTTTCTGCAGTATGGTTTCTCAGTAAACTTGATACTGGTGAATGCTTTCCTGCTAGCTTTAAAGCAAGTATGCTGGGAAGTGACTATGTCTCAGATAGCTCTTTTGAAAGCTGAGTATCACCTTTGCATAAACAGTTTGGTGCAGATGGGCATGGTATTGGTTACATCACTCTGGAATGTTTTATTGCTATGGATTCCATGTTGCCAGGAAACAAAACACAAATTTCAATAGATTTGGCATTGACTTCAGATAAACACTGTAAAAGTCAAAACATTCCATAATTCATAACAATTTTGACAGTTGCAAATCAGTGTGTGTACTGCAGCTGCACCAGATGCTTTGTTTTACACTATTCTTAATGATGACTTAAAACTGTTAACATGCTACATAGAACTGCTGACCCCTGTAGTAGAATGAGGGCTAACCTTGGTGCCAACACTCACAAATGTATCTTAAAATTTGATCAGCTTAGATGATTGTGGTTCTTTAATATACCAGTTTCTGGAGTCAGGTTATTACAATCCTGCCATCCTCTCTTAAGTTTCTTGTCTCTCCAAGATGTGAAGAAATGCTTGAGGTGTGAATCTTAATGAGCTGCTAACAGAAAACAAGTAGAGTCAGGACAGCCAAGACATTTTATTTTCAGTCTGCTCATTTAGCTGTGTTTCTCGGATCCTTGGCAGCTGTGCCCTTGAAAAAATGAATGGGAGAAATACAGTGTAGCCAAGCTGCAGCTTTCAAAACACAATGGGATCATTTTTGAAGGGCCAGGTGCTTTTTGTTGTGTTCTGGTTTTCTTCCCCTCCTAACCTTTCCTTGCCTTTGAGGCTCCTGCAGCCAGTTCCATTGACATTGTTTGGAGCCTGGGCTGCTACCTTCTGTGTTGGGGTAATTACCTACTTAGGAATTGGTGGTATAGAGCTTGTTCTTGGATCTTCTCTCTAGAGAGATCCTTTTGGCTTGTGATGACTTTATTTTTGAGGGTTTGAGGAAAGAGGGAGGTTGTAGTGACTGGAAGGGGGTTTTTGTTGTTGTTTTTCTCCTCCAAAAGACACAGTTTAGCACAGAGCCTATCTTTTGCTGAATATCTGCTTCTGCAGAATATTCTACAATCCATTCTATGCCTGTATCTTAATTAACAGTAACAATTCCTCTATGTTCTAACTTCATCTGACAGCAAATGCTTCTGTATACTCTCACCTCTACCCAAAGGAAACCTCTCCAAGTTGTAGTTCAGTTGTTTTGTAGATGGTAGTACATGGATTAATCATGTCTCTACTTTGTGTGCTGTGTTTCCCCCCTTCATTCCTTTTTCTGGGAGCTATGGTAATCATCTGCTGCAAGTAGTACTTGAAATAGGATTTCACTTTCACTGAATTCAACAAAGTTTTGAAAAAGCTTTGAGCTGGAAAGAAAGGAAGCTCTGTTAAACGTAAAATCTTTAGTCAGGTCCTTTTCCTTTCTGACAACCAGATATTTCTTACTAAATCATTGGACCAGTGACTGAAAGTAGGGACCTATTGCAACAAATGTAACTTCAGCTGATTTAGAGATGTCTTTATGGACAATGTCTCTACACATAGCATTGTTGTATGATATTTCTACTCCAGTGCTATTGGCAAAACAGGGATGTATGAGGTGTAGTACTCTGTTCTTTCAGCAGTAGAAATGGAATTCATTAAAATAGCAAAAGGCTGTATATATCTTCTTGTCCATACCCTATGATGATCTATTAATGTGTTTGCAATCTAGGAGACAGGCTGGTAGTTAAATGTAGGTTAACATAGTTATCTGCTTAAGTACAGCTGGAAGGAATTAAAATCTGTCTTCAGTATTGACATTCTGCTCTGAGGTTTATTTTACTTCGAATTAATTGGAAGGGAGGGTATTTTGCTTTTACGATAACTGCAGATTTCACCCTAATTATTTTTGGCAGGGTTGTATGCTAATGCTAGAACATCTGTCCGTTTATAAGATACCACTGAGGAATTTAAGTGAGCACTGAATAAATGGAGGCAATAAAATTTTCAGCACTGGATTTTACTTTGTTTTTGTTCTTTCTAGAGTGGCTTACCTAAAATCAAAAAAATTTGGGAATGCAGAAATTGCTCAGATGGTCTCAAGAGCTCCATATTTGCTGTTGTTTTCAGTGGAAAGACTGGATAACAGACTGGGTTTCTTCAAAAATGAACTTGGTCTCAGTGTAAAAAAGGTAAAGACTGAAGTCTTTGGGTGTTTTGTTTGTGACAATATGAATACTTCAAGTGTTTGGAGGTTATCCACAAACATTAGTGACATTAGTGATGGTAACACAGAGGGTTACAGGAGGATAATGTGGTTTTAATTGTTTATGGAAGTGATATGGACACCTAACATTCAGAGGTCCTGAAGTACAGTTCTTGAAGATGACCTGCTACAGGTTATGGGCAAACAAGCATGTGTATGTCCAGTTTTATTGATTGAGGTGGGTCAGAGAGGACTGAGTTCATTACTGAAACAGCAAGAGACTGTTTTAACTTCTGGAAAATTAACTGGTTCTCTTCAAGATACTGTGACATATTTAACTCATCATTGAAAATAGTCTAATCTGTGAATATCATATCAAACTAAATGCCAATTCATATGCTCAGCTCACCAGAAGTAACCCCTAGGTTCTCTGATGAGTGTGTACCACATTACATGCTTAGCAGGTGTCCAGCACTATGTTTTGGGATCTCCAGGGGAGGTAGACTTGCCTGGAATAAGTGGGCAGAATTAACTGCTTCCTGCAGTAGTTAGGGATTGTAATGAATGTCAAATTCCAAGTGGAATCTGGGGTTCTTGTATTAGCTGAACTGTCACAGTGCCTGTTGCTGGCCTTTCTGTGCTTGAGGTAAGAGATCTCTGGAAAAGGGTTGTGTCACTACTTTGTAGTCAGGGTGGATTACAAGTAATCACATGGCTTAGGGGTTGTGGAGTAATTTCTTGTGTTGCTGTTATACTGTGTTCTACCAAGATCCTGAAGTAGACAAACTCCCTTGCAGCTGAAAAACCCTTTTGTAGCATCTATCAGGTAGTGTCTTACTTACTTTCTTTAAAAAGATGGGAAGAGACAAGTTGGAGACAACTTGAGCACTAAGAGATAATTGGGCACTTGAGCATGCTTTCTACTTTTGATGTATAATTTTACTCCCTCTTCCTGTCTGCTTTACAACAGCTAATGTTATTTTTTGTTTTCCAAAAGAACATATTTGAGTAACTTTTTGCATTGTAACGTACTGCTGCTTCAGTGCAAACTCATCTTTGGTGTAGAGAGAAAATGAAATCCCTTTTCCAGCTGGAAAAAGAAATTATGAGATCTCTTTCACAGGTGACTTCACAAACAAGATTTCAGTAATACTGTTTCTTTTGTGTGTCTTCCCTAATTGTAGACAAAGGATCTGGTCGTTCGTCTCCCAAGGCTACTGACTGGCAAATTAGAGCCTGTAAAAGAAAATCTTCAGGTGAGCTGATTAGCAGATATTAAAAGTGTGTTGTGTATCCATATAGTTTAAGAGTTGTGAGAAAATAAAATTCTTGGAGGAGAATTGTGTACAGAAAGGATTTAATGAAATAGTTTTAGTGGAGTTAAAACAGGATTTTGTTAATTTTTCTTCTATAGCTTGCAAGCTTACCGAATATTTGGAGCAGTATCTTATCCTGTCTTCTACTCTGATGTAGTCCTTTCCTGCCAAAAGTTGCAATCTGGTGACACAAATCATTACCCATTTCTCTATGACTAGAAAAATATTCCCTCTTTTTTTTTTTCTTCTCCCTTAATTATTATTGTTTTTTGCTGACTTGGATTGTCCATGAATATTTAGGAGCAAAAAATGTGCAGTTGATTATTTTTCTCTTGGCAGGTAGCTAGTCTGCCAAAATGTGCATTTGACACCTATTGTCAGATAGCAGATGGTCGTTATTAACAATTGTTGGGTAAATAACTTCAAACCCGCAGGGACTCCTTTCCCTTTTGAAAATGTAACTGTGTATTGGTTTAATTATTGTGCTGTAAAGTCATCGAGGCCAAACAGTATGATGTAGGGTAACAATCTGTGAAATTCCATTATCCTATAACATACAACTGTGAATTAAAATGTATAAGTTTCAGACAGACTCACTGCTCTGAGACTGTTAAAACACTAGAAATCTTGCAATCTGAAATGTGTGTGTGGTAAGGGAGGAGACTGGAAAGTAGCAGACTGTGCTTTCTTTTTAAAGAACATTGTTTCCACAGGCTAGGGATTCAGTATATTACAGTGATTGTGTTGTTAAGATCCTTAGTTCTATGTGACTGTCTTGTTTATTTACGGAAAAAATGTGTGTAGCGTAGCACCTTTATTTTTAACATGTATGAGAGAGGGAGAGAGAGGAAATTTTTAGGTCCTCACTGTTGGAATCTACTAATACTTAGCAGCTCCAGCCTTTTCAGGAGGTTGGATGTCTCAGATTCAGAATTTGGGTTCAGACCTGTACATCCTAAGCTGGTGGTGGGAAGAGAGTACTTGGAAAGTGAAACGATGTACTAGCAGTTCAGAAGCAATCAGGTTATATCCCTCATTCTGAATGGGCTGTTATTTAGAAACAACTGCTATAGCTGATCTTGGCTGTCAAAAGATACTAGCCATGGACTAAATGAGCTGAAGGGTGGCTTATTCCATCCTCTGAAGGTTTCATCAAGCACAACTAAGAGATTCACTGATAGTTTAAAACCTGAAAGCTTGCATTACCACTGCCTGTGGTAATGTTGAATATTGCTGGGGCTCACACATTAGAGATATTAGCATACATGGCCTAGAGAGTTCCTGAATATTAAATAGGTTTGCTGTCAAACTGAGTGTAGTCAAAGCAACTTAAACTCGAGCTCACCAGTCATGTCAAGAGAGCTGTTCCATTTCACAGAGGAGAAAATAAAAGCTCAAGATTCTTGCCACAATTACCCCTACAGTGGGCCCATCTTTACATGTGCAGTGATTTAACATTGGGTCTTACTCTCAGTTGTGTATCTTAATACAGTAAGTTACCTGTGACAACTCAGATCCTTGGGAGATACCACTAAAGTGCAAACACTTCTGTTCACACTTGAGTGCTGTCTTAGTTGATTGGTATTCTGTGTGATGCACAAGTATTTATAAAGCTGATTAGGAAAAAACAGGAGTTGAAAGACCAGATTATAGTCACCTCCACAAACAGTTCCTTGAAAGGACCTGTAAGTCCTAAGGTAGCTTCAAGACCCAGATTCCAAGGCCTTCCCTTTGTATTTGCCAGGCAGCTCTGGAAAAGAGCTGCAGTCTTGGCACATCAAATTGGACAAACAAAAAGCACCATCTTTTTGCCAACTGAAGTACCTGAGTTGGATTTGAAAGTACACCCACTTCATGACTGAACACAAGCTGCTTGTAAATGTCACTGGAGGACAGAAGAAAGTAAGTTCCAAACAGTCTTGTATGCTGAATTCTTTTCTCAACAACTCAATGAACTGCTTGCCATTCTGCACTTTGGGAGGAGTGCTCATGATTTTATTGAAAACATGTGTTTTGTTTTCCTTTTGGGAAATCATAATTGAAGTCAAGGCAGCCTCTGAAAAAGGCATCTTACTTTAGATATTAACAAACTGTAAAATAAATTGAATACATCACATATTCTACACGTCTCAGCTTCAGCAGTCTTCAGCTGAAGACAACAGGACTGATTATACTCCCTATTATAAAAAAATAACTTGAATACATCAGCAGAAGAAATAACACATTAGCCAAAGTAGTTGCTAGCTCTTTGATTGCTGCACTTCAGAGAGATCAACAGCTCCACAACAAGAAAGTCTGACTGGTATTGAAACCGATACTGGACTCTTATGAGAGAATTTTTATGCCTGTAACTGTCATGTGTACAGAGACGGGTTTTTTGTTCCTATCTCAGACAAACTGAGAAATACATAGCATCCACAGGAGTCATCTTTACTTCAGGGATACTCTAGAAACAAATTACACTTTAATCCAGAATGATAAATAACTTGCACTGTTGACTTCAGAAGAACTGCAGTGGCAGCTATTATTGTGAGTTGCATTCTTGTTGCTGTGTGACAGAAGCTAAGTTTGCTGTAGCTGACTTGTGAAAGTAAAATTGTGCTCTTTTTTTCAGGTTTGTCAGATTGAACTTGGTTTTCAACGTAGTGAAATTCAACAGATCGTGTATAAGACCCCCAAGATTTTAACTGCAAGTAAAAAGAGACTCAGACAGACATTTGACTACTTACACAACATAATGGGCATTCCCCACAACATGCTTACTCGCTTTCCTCAGGTGAGCTGTTAATCTGGAAATAAATTGTATGTGCTCTTGTCACAGCCACTTCACTAATGCAATGCTGAAGATGGAGCCTTGCTATATGCAGGATGTGTGTGAACTCCTCAACTTTCCTGTGGCTTTTACTGTAATTGGGATACTTTTCTAAGTAACTTAGAAACCATTGAGGATTCTGATGTGGAACTGTTGCTCTTTTTCCCCTGGCACATGTAATATCACTGCCCCCAGTCTTGTGAATTTTTAGGTTTTCAACAGAGATAGTCATGTTCATCTTTTCTGGATTCATGCAAGAGAGGTTGCTGTCTGCTTAGGGATTGCTTGTCCTGAAACCTTACCTAGCTAAGAGAGACAGGGGCAGACAGACTATGCAGAAGATTGTTTTATTAGATAATATATATTAAAACATTTCTTTCAGATTTGTCCAGTTAAAAATAAATTTAAAATATTCTAGGATCTGAAAATACAGTGTAACAGTAGGAGAAATTCTGTCCAGTCAAATTCTCACTGGTCTTCCTATTGCTGCAGCAATAGCTAAAATATCACAGGATTGAAAATAGATTCATTTCCTGATTTCTATTTTGGGGTTTTTTTCCTATCTCCTCATTACTGTTAGTTCCTCACAAATTAGAAGTTGAAAGCATTAGTCACTACACTCAGTGCTGACATGCAGTCACACTAGGTTCTTACAAGGTGAAAATGAAAGCACCGATTGCAGCTTCTGAACTGCAATAATTTTCTTTCTAAAGCAAGTCTAGTAGGGAATCTAACTGGCTAAAAAAACCAAAATTATATGGGGAAATAAAACTACTCCCTAAGATTCTGCTTGCTTATCTTCCTATTTCATATATCTTTACTTAAGAGTGATTCTTGCTGTAACTCCAGTCTGTGGCTCTTTTGCCCTCCTTGACCTGTAAGTGACCACAAGTCCTGCTTACTTGCTCCTCAGTTTGCGTCCTCATGAAATCCTTCTTTCATCAGTCTCTCTTTTTCAGTGAAAGCTCTGCTTGCGTTCACTGCTGTAGCATTCACATTTTCACCATTATCTTCTCTATAGCAGCATCTCTCTCTTCAGTGGTACTGCTCAGAAATGCAGAGTTAGATCTCTGCTTTTAAGACTTAACTGTACACCTCGTCTTCCCCACTTCCCTCTGTTTAAAGATGTTCCAGTGATCTCTTTCGTGTTTTATTCCCTTACCATTGTTCTTACTTTTGACAGTCTAGATTTTTTTGGTGACAGGTATCTTCAGGGGAGGCATTGCTGGGCAGCAGAAGACAAGAGGTTGTTTTGAACCACTGCACTGTGCCTTTGGCTGTGTTCTGACCTTCTCCCTTGCCACTGTGCCATTCGTTCATTTGTACTGTGCACGTGATCAGCTGTTCATTTCTTCCTTGTAGCAATGCTCATCTGAATCAGGGAACATGCTCCGAGTTTCTGAATGTCTCCTCTCCACTTTCTTGGCTGTGATTACACAAAAGTAATAGTTACTAGATGTAAACAAAAAACCTAACATGCTTGAGAGCTGTATCACACCCTGATTTCCCTTGTGTGTGTGTGTCAGCATATTGTATGGAAGCAGTTATTTAGAGTTTAGTTAATTTATATATAAATGTAACCTACCTGGTGTTTGACATAAATTAGAAGAAAATACACAAATTACTTATTTTCTTCTGAGATCTTCAGTTTGTCCAAAAAATGTTCTTCCTGTAGATTCCTCAGAGTCTGAAATTTAGACAACCTAAAAGATTCTTCCCTTTCTTTCTTTCTTTTTTTCTTTCTTAGGTTTTCAACTCAAAGCTGTTAAGAATCAAAGAGAGGCATTTGTTTCTTGCGTTCTTGGGGAGAGCCCAGTATGACCCAGCACAGCCCAGCTACATCTCTCTAGACCAGCTGGTCTCCTTGCCCAACGAGGTGTTTTGTACAGAGATTGCCAAAGCTTCTATACAGGACTTTGAAAATTTCTTAAAAACACTTTAATTAGTAACAGATGTAAAAAAATAAGAGAATAAAGTTATGAAATAAACATATTTTATAAAACTACTTCTGGTTAGGGTCTCAACTTTTTAATTGCTGGTTAAAGAAGTTGTTGCTTATGAAACATCTGTAGGATTTGAAGGCATGCTGTAATGTTCTTTCTAGTGACTTTCAGAAGGATTGCTTGAAGGTGTTGATTGCTGCTGATGCAATCCTTATAACTAATTGCTAGCTTAATTCAAAGTGGATCGATGCAGCACACTAACAGAAAAGTAAATCAAAGTGGATTCTTTTTTTTCCCCCTTTAAATAATGGCATAGGTTTGGGAGATGGAAAAACTATGTAGTGACTTATTCCCTGTCTTGCCCACTATATTTTCCCCTCACCCTCTTTCCCGAAAGTTAGAATAACAAGCTAATGCAGTAGAGAAGTGTCTTTACATGCTTGAGCTAATCATCCTATTTTTGTTGTATGGTAGAAAGAAATACATCATTACATAATGTGAAGCTCCTCACACAAAAAGACATTTTTAAGCAGGTTACACAGGGATTTCGTTGTAAAGCTGCTGCTGAAATTAATATCCTAAGAGCTGTGCAGTGAAACCTGGTTTGAAATGTCACAGAAAACCAGCAAATGGAATCTAGGCAAATTACAGAAAGAAAACAAAACTGTTAGTGTCCCTGAAATCCAGAAGGAGCTTATTTTAAGGTACTTTTCTTTCCCCCTTGTTGGGTTTTTCCCCCCACACCAGTGAGATTAGTCTGGCTTTAATATCCAAGTAACCACACAAAAAGAGGCTGTAGTATACACTGAGGTGACAGAGTTATCTTTTTCGGTTGTAAAAGCTGAAGTAAATGCTAACATTGGGAATCACAGGAGCAGTAAAAGTACTTAATCTTATCAGTAAACAAATTGCATTAATACAGAATTATCAAATGCTTTACAGTGTATTTTGGAAAAAGAAGAAACTGTCTAAACCCAAATGCAAACTGTCTGATAGTTTATTGTTCAGAGGTTTCCATGCTTTCATTAAAAACAGTTCAGGAAACTGAAATCCAGATATTTTGGATTTAAGCTTATGTAATGAAAAAGCCTTCAGGTTTTAAAAGCTCAGTGTTGGAGCTTAAAATACCAATTTGTATGCAGACAGCAAAATAGAACTCAAAAGGTGGGAAATAAAGACACACTTAAAGAATGAGAGTTGTAGTGATCTCTGGATTATAACTGGTTAAATTCTTATTTATCCAAGTGGAGAAGTTGAAAAAGGAGTGCAGTCAGAACAAGCAGGGCATCTTCACTAGAAACACATTAAAAAGCCACATTCATTGTCTGCAATATGTATCTGCAATGCTCTCTTTTGTTCTCGTGTTTCCCACTCTCTGGGCCTGGGAAGATCACTTGAAATTGTCCATTAAATAGACTGTTCCTGGTGGGCATGCGTAACAAATTTCATCTTAAGTGGTGGCTGAAATGTGACAGCTAAGCACTTTCCCCCATTCTCTCCTGTTAAACAAAAGTATCTAAGTCCAATTCAATATGCTTACTTGGAATTTTGACTGTATTAATAACGAACTGTAATCTTCAACCAATCTTCATAGTACAAATGTTAATACAAAGTATGTGGGTTCATAATGTTAGATTTAGCTTTTGCAGATTTACTCCACTGCCCTTATCATAATATATTACCATGTGACAAACCATTAGAAGCTGTATTACAGAATTCTTGTATTTTGAATGTCTCAAATTTAGAGCTTTTAATTCCTTTAATATTTTAAAGGTAAAAATGATTGCTGCCAGAGCTAAACCAGTTTCTTTGAAATGTTAAATACATGAGCTTCTGCCAAAATAGCTTTCCAGAAACACCGTGAAGAAAGGAAGCAAAAGATTTTATGGGAGTGCTAAAAGGGAACGGGAGAGAGGATAGAACTTTTGGAAGATTATGCCAAACACTTTGTGGCTTTAAGATGAAACAAAAAAATCTATAGAATAAATGTTTGGCCTAGAATTACCAAACTTGCTGTATCTTGATAGATGGATATAAAGGTGTTCTTGATAGATACAAAGCTATTAGAGAGCATTCAAAGAAGAGCAGTGAAGATAATGCAGGGCCTAGAGGGGAAGCCATATGAGGAGCAACTGAGGTCACTTGGTTTGCTCAGCCTGGAGGAGACTGAGAGGAGATCTCATAGCAGTCTACAACCTCCTCATGAGGGCAAGAGGAGGGGCAGGCACTGATCTCTTCTCTCAGGCAACCAGTGACAGGACCTGAGGGAATGGCATGAAGTTGTGTCAGGGTAGGTTTATGCTAGGTATTAGAAAATGGGTCTTCACCCAGAGGGTAGCTGGGCACTGGAAGAGCTCCCAGGGAAGTGGTCACAGCACCAAACCTGACAGAGCTCAACAAAGGTTTGGACAATGCTCTCAGGCACATGGTGTGATCCTTGGGGATATCCTGTGCACGGCCAAGAGATGGACTTGATGATCCTCATGGATCCCTTCATGAACATTCTGTGGTACCGTAAAAATTCATAAATGAGACTAATAAATAACTCTTCTGCATTGCACATTTTTCTGTCAGCCCATCATTCAGGTGCAAAACACTTCACTTCTATTGAGGCGACAGCAGCCTCTGAGCAATTGATGAATTGAGGCTTTCTGGGTACAGTACAGCAAAGAACCTTCCCAGTCTGCAGCTGTGCAGCCTGGGCTGTGCTCCTTGCCTGCACATCCCAGTCAGCCACGGGCTTTTCTGACTGAAACTGCCTACTGTAGCCTTATTTCTAGACTAATTCCACATATTTATTTTATTTTTTTTGAACTGCAGTGGTTGGTTTCTGAAGGAATTGCTGAGGAGAGACAGTGATCTGTGCCTCGGAAGACAAAGCTGCTCACCTGACAGCTGCAATACCGGAGTAGGGAGAGACAGGTTTCTGCTGCCTTCAGTGTTTGTAGAATCACAGACTTTTTAGGGGTTGGAGTGAACCTTATAGATCATCTAGTCCCAACCCCCTGCCATGGGCAGGGACACCTCCCACTAGATCAGGTTGCTCAAGGCCTCATCCAGCCTGGCCTTGAACACTGCCAGGGTCGGAGCAGCCACCACATCCCTGGGCAACCTGTGCCACCCTCACAAGGAAACCCTTTTTCCTAATATCCTCCTCACAATGAACAGTGAATTTTGATTGCTTTCTTTCCATTTTCCCCTCTCCACAAAAAAAAAAAAAAAAAAACCCTCTCTTCTCCAGGCTGAACAGCCCCAACTCCCTCAGCCTGTCCTCACAGGGGAGATGCTCCAGTGCTCTTATCAACCCCGTGGCCTCCTCTGGACTTGCCCCATCAGTTCCATGTCCTCCTTACGGCGGTGCCGGTGCGGGG